TCGTTTTTCTATACTCTATTCCTTTTTATTATTTTTAATTAAAAAAAAAAACATAAACCTTCCTTGTTTCTTCTCCGGTGAAACAAACGAGCCATCAGGCAAATCTTTTATTGGAAAAAACATTAACATGAAACCAGATCCAGATGCTCCGTTCTAGTGTGGTTGTGGCCATCCTCCGGAATCGAGACATGTGACGATCCCAGATCTATCTGTTTCTCCAACAAGGTCTCGAGGTTTTCCTCCCAAATCGAACGGTTATCCATCAGAGGCGAAATCGAATGTAGCGATTGTTTCAGGTAAGCCATGAAGAAGACCACTGAAGAAGCCTGGAGACAGTATTAGAGAGATCCTTTGTACCAACGATAAATCATAAAATTTAGCGTGAAGCCCATGGTATATTACTAAATATCATATTTTGTGAAAGATGACATTCCAAACGAGTTTAAAATGTCTATGTTTTATTACATAAATATTTGATCTATTTTCTAATTTCTTACATAATTCGGCATATTTCTTTAGTTTTATAATATTTGATCTATTCTTTTAATTTTCAATAAGATTTGGTCTTATTCATTTGATTCTTCCCTTCTAATTTTATTATGAAAAAAGTTCTCTTCTCTTTTTTTCTAGAAAAGTGTTTTTCTTCGATATCCTTTGGAACAACGACAAATAAAAAAATTTAGCGTGAAGCCCATGTGTTATTACTAAATATGCTAGAGTATTCTGTGAAAGATGACATTCCAAACGAGTTTAAAGTGTTTATGTTTTATCACCCGAATGAAAACGGTTTGTGAAAAACATTTTGCTCGGTGAGAAAAACTCGAACAATCCTTTTACGTGAACGATAGATAGTGGCACGAAAGTACATAACTATTTGGTCTTTTTGCTAATTTCTTACAAAATTTGACATATTTCTTTACTTTTACAATATTTGATCTATATATTTAAAATTCTCAATAAGATTTGGGCTTATTCTTTTGATTATGCTCTTCTAATTTTAGTATGGAAAAAGTTTTCTTATCTTTTTTCAAGAAAAGTATTTTTATTCGATATCCTTTGTACTAATGACAAATAAAAAAGTTTAGCGTGGAACGCACGAGATTCTACTAAATGTCCTATTGTATTTTGTGCAAGATTACATTCCAAATGAGTTTAAGGTTTTTATGTTTTATCACCCGAATGAAAACGGTTTGTGGAAAACGTTTTGCTTGGTGAGAGAAACTCGAACAATGTTCTTACGTGGACGATAGATAGTGGCGCGAAAATACATAAATATTTGGTCTATTTTCTAATTTCTTACAAAATTTGACATATTTCTTTAGTTTATAATCTTTGATCTATTTTTTTAAATTTTCAATAAGATTTGGTCGTATTACTTTGATTCTCACCTTCTAATTTTATTATGAAAAAAGTTCTCTTCTCTTTTTTTCTAGAAAAGTATTTTTCTTTGATATCTTTTGTACCAACGATAAATCATAAAATTTAGCGTGAAGCCCATGAGATATTACTAAATATCAAATATTTGATCTATTTTATAATTTCTTACATAATTTGGCATATTTCTTTTTTTTTTATATAATATTTGATCTATTCTTTTAATTTTTCAATAAGATTTGGGCTTATTCTTTTGATTATCCTCTTCTAATTTTATTATGGAAACATTTCTCTTCTCTTTTTTTCTAGAAAAGTATTTTTCTTCGATAGCCTTTGGACCAATGACAAATTAAAAAATTAGCGTGAAGCATACGAGATATTACTAAATATCCTAGAGTATTTTGTGAAAGATGACATTCCAAACGAGTTTAAGGTGTTTATGTTTTCTCACCCAAATGAAAACGGTTTGTGGAAAACGTTTTTCTTGGTGAGAAAAACTCGAACAATCTTTTTACGCAAACGATAGATAGTGGCACGAAAGTACATAAATATTTGGTCTTTTTGCTAATTTCTTACAAAATTTGACATATTTATTTAGTTTTATAAAATTTAATATATTCTTTTAACTTTTTAATAAGGTTTGGCTTTATTCTTTTGATTCTCCCCTTCTAATTTTATTATGGGAAAAGTTCACTTATCTTTTTTCAAGAAAAATATTTTTCTTCGATAGCATTTGAACAAACTACAAATAAAAAAAGTTTAGCGTGAAGCCTACGAGATACTACTAAATATCCTATTGTATTTTGTGCAAGATTACATTCCAAATGAGTTTAAGATTTTTATGTTTTATCATCCAAACGAAAACGGTTTGGGGAAAACGTTTTGCTTGGTGAGAGAAACTCGAACAATGTTCTTACGTGGATGATAGATAGTGGCACAAAAATACATAAATATTTGGTCTATTTTCTAATTTCTTACAAAATTTGACATATTTCTTTAGTTTTATAAATTTGATATATTCTTTTAATTTTTTTTTTAATAAGATTTGGCTTTATTCTTTTGATTCTTCTCTTCTAATTTTAATATGGAAAAAGTTTTATTCTCTTTTTTTCCAAAAAAATATTTTTTTTCGATAGCATGTGAAACAATGACAAATCAAAAAATTTAGCGTGAAACCCACGAGATATTACTATTACTAAATATTTTAGAGTATTTTGTAATAGATATCATTTAAAACATGTTTAAGGTGTTTATGTTTTATCATCCGAATGAAAACGATTTGTGGAAAACGTTTTGATTGTTGAGAGAGACTCGAATACTTTTCTTAAGTGTAGATGGTAGATAGTAGCACAAAATTACATAAATATTTGGTATATTTTCTAAATTTTTACAAAATTTGACATATTTTTTTTAATTTTTCAATTAAATTTTGACCTATTCTTTTGTTTCTCCCATTCTAATTTTACTAGAAAAAATTATAATTCTACTCTTCTTGAAAAGTATTTTTCGTGATTTGGACAAATCAAAATTTTTTGCTTGAAGCCCACGAGATACTAAATATCTCATTTTTTTTGTGGGTCCTTTTTCTCTCTCTCCGCACCAAATCACTGACTTTTCTCTCTCTCTCTCCGTATCGGTCGTCTCCAGCCTCAAAAACCCAAAACCTTCCCTTGAAAACGGCGAGCCAAGTGTTTCCATTACCCTAAAACTCCAAATCGATGAGACAATGCTCCTTACGTTTAACGGTTTGAAAATCATACCTAAAAAATCACATTTTTGCTCGTTTTGTCGCCTTCTTCTCTCGCCATGACCTTAATCTCAAGGTTCGTCTTTTACCCTCGTTTTCCCTTCTTCTGCTTCGTTGGGTTTCTGGGTCTCTCTTGATTTCTGATTCCGATTGATTTTTAGCCGGAGATTGCTTAATTTGATTCCTAGGTCTAAAAAAATGGAAGCTTTGTAACAAAGTCTCAATCTTGACTCTTTCGTTTGATCGGATCATTATTAAGTTAAATCCTTTGGTGGGTTTTGTTGGGTTTCTTGCAGATTTTTGGTCTCTAAAGTGGTTAGCAGATACACACAATCTCTATTCCCGATTCAGAAAGATAGAACAGATGTTACAGTTGCTCTAAACTTGCCTCGATTCAGAACTTCTAGAGTTTTGAGTAATGGATATTATCAAAATCATACATTGTCGCTTCTCCGTAAAGCTAAAGGAAGGTTTTTAGGTAATAATAATCTCTCGAGAAGCTATTCGGTTGCATCTGCAAGCAGTGTAGTTAAGCAACATGCTCAAGTCTCTTGGAAAAAGCTTCTTCATAGATACTCTATGAACTTACCTCGTATAGGTAAAATGGCTCAAGCATTCAGCTTGTCTTTAGCCCGTTCGCATTTGTTATTACCTGGTATCTTGGCTCTTACTTGTAGAAAAGTGGCATGGGCACAGAGGGTGGCTCCAAGTCCGGTTATTAATAACTATCCTTCACAACGGTCTCTTTATAGGACTGCGGTGAACGTCCCTGTTGTTCTGTCTACTTTATTGCTTTCTGCGATCGAAGGTGTTGTTCTGATCGGGAGAGCTCTCTATTTAGCAGTTTTGTTATCTCCAAATCTTGTAATGGCATTGTTGGAATTTGCGTGCGGGCCTCGGTTTAGAAAGTTACGGTATGAGGTCCTCCTTAGGACTCTGGAAAAAGCTGGTCCTGCTTTTATCAAATTTGGCCAATGGGTAGCTACACGACCTGATCGGTTTTCCAAGGATTTGTGTTTGCAGCTTTCAAAGCTTCACAGTAATGCTCCTGAGCACAGTTTTGCTTTCACCAAAAAAACCATTGAAAGTGCATTTGGTCGTAAGCTCTCTGAAATATTTGAGGAATTTGATGAGGCGCCAGTGGCATCTGGGAGTATAGCTCAAGTTCATCGAGCTTCCTTGAGGTTCCAGTATCCAGGACAAAAGGTTAAGTCCTCCGAAGTTGCTGTTAAAGTTAGACATCCTTTTGTTGAGGAAACGATGACGCGAGATTTTGTGATAATCAATTTGGCGGCAAGAATGACTACTTTTATTCCGGGTTTGAATTGGCTTAGATTGGATGAGTGTGTGCAACAGTTTAGCGTCTACATGTTGTCTCAAGTTGATCTCTCAAGGGAAGCTTCTCATTTGAGTCGGTTTATATATAACTTCCGTAGATGGAAAGATGTCTCCTTTCCTAAGCCCGTCTTTCCGCTTGTACATCCCACCGTTTTGGTTGAGTCATATGAGCACGGAGAAAGTGTGGCTCGTTATGTCGATGGCTCGGAAGGGCATGAATGGCTTAAGGCTAAAGTAGCTCATATCGGCACTCATGCTCTCTTGAAGATGCTCCTGGTTCTGCCTCTTTCTTCACTTGAATCTTTTTGTTCATTTGGGTTACTTATTACTTAAAAGTTGCTTTGATTCGTGTTTTTCAGGTCGACAACTTCATTCACGCTGATATGCATCCCGGAAATATTCTTGTCCGGAGGAACGATGCTCGAAAACGTCTTTTTAGATCAAAGAAGCCACACATCATTTTCCTTGATGTGGGGATGACTGCAGAACTCTCAAAAGTTGACAGAGATAACCTACTCGGTTTTTTCAAGGCGGTTGCACGTCGAGATGGTCGGACCGCTGCTGAACGAACACTTAAATTATCTAGACAACAGAATTGTCCTAATCCACAGGCCTTTATCGAGGTGAGATATCTCCACTGGGTTTCACTTACACCATTCAAAATTTCTTAATTTTTATATATACACACATTCTGACAGGAAGTAAAAGAGGCGTTTAGATTCTGGGGAACATCGGAAGGAGATTTAGTTCATCCAGCGGATTGTATGCACGAATTATTCGAGAAAATGAGGCGTCATAGAGTTAACATTGACGGGAATGTGAGCACCGTGATGTTTACAACATTAGTTCTCGAGGTTAGTTTAAATCTCTCATCAAGCACTCTTCTTTGGATTTTATTGAGCTATGAACTAAAGCTAGATCTGATCAAAATGTAATCTGATCTTTGTTTTCCGCTTTTCTCAAGGGTTGGCAACGGAAACTCGATCCAGGATACGATATAATGCGTACGCTACAAACAATGCTGCTGAAAACGGATTGGGCGAAATCACTTTCTTACACGATTGACGGATTGATGGCTCCATAGATTGAAAAGGTTCAGTCTTATTCTTTTATCCATTCAAATTGCCTTTGAAAGCCAGATTCTGTTTCGTCTTAGGAATTGAAGAACAAAAACACATTTTTTAGGTAAAAAAAACAAAAGAAAATTACAA